GCCGGTGTCCATAATGAGACCCGGATCAGTGAAATTGAGCTGCATATTGTTGAAGGCTGCACTGAGATCAGAAGGGCTTAGGGCGTCATAACCTGTTGGTGCAGCTGCTGGGGATCCATATCCCGGGTAGCCTGTGAAGTGGGCTGCAGGGACTTGGTGTGCATTCTGATTTGGRCGCCAATTGGTCTGCGTGGGGTAAGGGCAGGGTGGAGTATTCCACCATGCCCATTGAGGATAAGATGGCTGCCCGGAAGGAGTCTAAAAAGCCCAATTAACATTGTTTGACTGACCTCGGTATCCGCGCCCACGACCCCCGCGACCCTGGTACTGATTTCGACCTCGTCCCTGACCCCGGAATGGCTGACCTATTGGTTGAATTGGAGCAGGTTGCTGGATCGGGGTGGAGGTGTTGTTTGGTGGGTTCGGGCAGTGTAACAGTGGGTTCGGGGTTGGAGTTTGGTCTGTGGGGGCCACCAGTACCGATGTGGACTGCTGTTGGCGTGCCTCTTTTCTGATTACTTCATCACGTAGCATAGTTGTTGCAAGATCCCAGTCAGCTTCTTGCGAGTGAATAAGTTGAGCAGTGGTGTCAAACTCCTGTGAAAGTCCACTAACGAGTTGTAATACTAACCTTTTGTCGTTAACGGGCTGATCAACAGCAGCAAGTTGATTGGCAAGGTTCGTCAGTTGTTGGCAATAATCATCGACTGAGGAGCAGGCTGCAAGAGTTAGGTTGACGAACTGGGTTTCGAGTGCACCAGCCTTCGCTTGTTTGTTGCTGAGAAAAATTTTCTCAAGCCGAAACCAGGTGTCATGTGCAGTGGCATCCATGTCGAGGACCCGGGTGAGCAGGTCGTCGGAGAGAGTGCTGTAGATCCATTGGGAGACAAGTGYATCCAATTCTTTCCAAGCCGCATATTTCGTATCCGTTGATTCCGGCTGTGGGGAACCGTCAATATGATTCAGAACTTTATAAGCAATAGCATTGAATTTAAAGAGTTTAACCCAGGAGGTGTATGAAACTTTGGTACCATCCAGGGTTCTGATCTTGGATTGGATATTGGAAACGGAATAGGCTGGGTGAAGAGAGGGGACAATTGGTTTAGAGGGTCCGGCGTCAGTAGGTTTGGTCATGATGTGTTGAAAGGGTTTGTTTGGGCTGCAGAGGATCGGAAAAAAATAAAGAAGGAGAAGGGTAATCAGGCCGTAGCTCTGATACCATAAAAGTTTGCAAAACTCGATGCCTCCATCATTAACAGAAAACCCCTATATATAGGGTATGTACAAAGAAACCCTATCGGCTAAAACAAATCAATACAAATCTTGATAATTAATGATAATTATAAATCAAATCCGTAATTATCTCTAACTAATATAATCAACCGGCTAAGAATTTAAAGTATATATCATAGGATGTTTTTGACAGTGGAATGGATTTACGATGTTATGTAAATGTTATGATAGATAATATTAATTCAAAAATTATTATTGATTGGTTTTGCGTATAGGAATACTAAAAAAACAGTTTATATGAATTATTAGTATTTTTTGAAGCCAGTGTCATTTTTAATGATAAAAATGATATATTAAATATTTTTTTCATTTAAATCTTGCCCAGGGCCTATAAAATTTTAGGAACGAATCTACATTTATCGACATCACTTATCTTATCGATTGAGTATGACAAGGATCAAGAATATTACTCGGTAAGGTGCAAAATAAAGATCGAGTCATACCCGATAAGTGAAAAAAAGTTCTTACCCAATAAGCGTTTACTGAGTTTAAGACGCTTCTCAATAATCCATTTTGATGACTAAAAATATCACATAATAAGGCAAGTGAGGATAATTTATCCTGCCAATAAGCGCTTACCTGATAAGTGTTTGCTAAACGGCTTCTTACACCTTTATATTTATTTTTTTTATAAAGATTGTAAGTTTGACAGATTCTCTATATTTCATGGATAAGTAAAAGTTAAAATATTCGAGAAAAATTACATTTAATTTCAACAAATGTTCTATTTTGAAAATTTAAACGTTAATTACATTATTAAGATATCCAATACGTTTAATATTTGAAAAAGAACTTTCAAATAAATTTTAGAGTAAATTAGGGATTTGATTGTTGTGGTATGTTAAAAATGATAGATTTGGTCCTTTTTCTTCATTTGTTACATGATAAACCTCCATGATCTTCAATAGATTCTTCAAAAAGGAAAAAATGAAGATTTTAGAGATTTTTTTACTTCAAAAACTTCTCCAAAACTTTTTTCAAAACCGAGAAAAGGCAAAATTTTCCAAATTGGAGAACTCTCTAAAATTGATTGCTTAAGAAAGAGAAATGGTTTTTTATATTATTCTTGCCAATAAAAATCATTGAAAATAAACCACAACGGTTGAAGACTGGGGGATGTGGTGGAATATCTCATCTGTCCAGGGTTCAATTCCAGACGTATACAACAACTATGATCACTGAATTTATCACGATTGATTTTCTGCATTCACAATTTGCCAGGATTAGTCTGGTCATAACTTGGGATACCCTTAAAAAAAATCCTTGAAACTAACATGTAGGACATAAAAAAAAAAATATTTTATTAATATAATTAATTTTGTAATTTCTAAATCAAAAATGGTTAGAATTGAATGTAGTTTATTTAAAGATTTTAAGTTTTTATTCCAATTTTAAAGAATTTTTGTAAATCTATTTCCTAATAAATTCATAAAATAAAAAATGAAAGGGAGGAAACTTTGAGCTAGTTTTGAAATAGAGTAGTAAATTACAAGAACCATCACATTTGACTTTTGAAAGAACCCAAGAGGTTCCGTAGTTTCTATTTTGTTACAATTTTGTTTTATATTATTGAATGTTGAGTCTCACCAGTAAAGTGTCCCACATATTACACAATACACTCATTTTGCACCAGAAGAAGAGGAGATCATATATATATATATATATATATATATATATATATATATAAAGAGGTTCCATAGTTTCTATTTTGTTACAATCTTGTTTTTTTATCATTGAATGTTAAGTCTCAATAGTAAAGTGTCCCACATGTTAGACAATACAGTCATTTTGCACCAGAAGAGGAGATTATATATATATATATATATATATATATATATATAACCAGAGTTTTTATTTGAGAAAACATCAAATGTATGAGAAACAGAAAAGTGATCCTAACATTTCCACTTAAAAATTAACAGTCAAGATTTGATGGGTTAATTGTGCAACACTAGATAATTTGGTCGCATGGTAACAATTAAGCAGAAGATAAATGGGAAATTTTGTAACTTTTATAAATATGCGGCAAACAAATTACAATATGTGCATATGTGAACCCATATGATTCACATATGAATTATTTAAGTGATTTAATTCATATATGAACCCAAATGATTCACATGTGAACTAATTAATTGTTATATGCATATGTGAACCCAACTGATTCATATATGAACTATTTAACTTATTCACAGATGAATCTTAAATTCACATATAGCATTGTAGTTTTAGAATCAAAACCAATATCTTGTAGAAGATCGCTTTCGGGTTCATATTTTCATTGTTATGTGCATATATGAACCCAAATGATTCACATATGAACTATTTAATTGTTGCACATATGAATATTAGATTCACATATAGCATTATAGTTTTAGGATCAAAATCAACACCTTGCTCAAGAGCGCTTTCTGGATTCAGATTCATATTAAAAGAATACGAGATTTGATCACGAAAGAATTAAGAAATTTGATAATTTTGATAACCTAGAATTGCAATATATGATGGAGAAAGAATCGATGATAGAATTGCCATAAAACCGGATTTAATTTGTTAGAATCATTAATCGGATCAAGATTATATACGGTGACTAAACTTCCTTTGTTGTCATTGAGGATGACGGTATATTGATCATACATCGTTGACACTTTATGCTAATTACCATATTACCCTTCACTTAATAAAATTTGATCATTTAATCTAATGACTAGGATTTCTTCTCTTTTTCTTATATATTTAGTGCTTCTCATTTGAACCACTTTATATATATAGTATATATATGAGGCAAATCAAATAGAAACCATCTATAAGTTATAAAAACTGTATGAACTAATATTGATCACACATTTTTAACTTCCACAATTATATTAATTACCTTATTAACAGTTTTCTTTAAAAACCTCACTTTTCCTATTTAAAATCATCTAATTGATGTGATGTTTCGCTGATGAAACGATATTATACTCAAAAGAAATAAATCTCATGTTTTGTTTTATTAGTGAAACAACATTGCATTATCGTAACTCAATATGTTTATTTGATGCGATGTTTTGTTCATGTATTCACCCTCGTCTTCTTGTTCACAATGTTTTCACTTTGTTCACTACACGTTCACTATGTGTTCATTTGTAAAATAACATTTTTCAACAACAATGTTCACATTGTAAACAACCCTTGTTCACTATGTATTCACATATCGTATAAAAATCAGGTCTCAAATAAAACATCCTCTTCTTTCACAAAGAGAGGAAAAATAACTATTTATCAAAATACCTATTTCACCCCCTATCATTAAATGAAGCGAAAATTAAGGAAGTTTGTTTTAAAAGATTTTAATATTAATTATATATATATATATATATATATTAAATATGTTGTCAGACTTGTAAGATTTTACAGTTCTCACAACTATAATTAAGGGATCTCACACACATGTATATGGGCCAATTCAAGGAAGAACTGACTAGTTTGTGGTAACTGTGAGATCCAATCTCAACCACAAATTAATAAATAAATTAGGAAATTTATAATTTTGTAATTTTGAATTAAATTTTAATGCAAATACATTTTGGGTATTTTCTCTCCTCTCTCTTCTCTCCGTCCCTCGTCCTCCTTCACTGAGTCTGTTTAGTGATCGCTGAAGAACTTGTATTGTAAATCAATCAGAGACAGCGATACTTTAAGAAGACAACACTCACACCAAGAAACCTTCAGCAAATGTCGAAGACTGAAACTGAAGATTAGAGACAGGCGAGTACGTGATCTGAAGCGGTACTCAGTCATTACAAGTCTGTCTACAAATGTGTGAAAACTGCTCAAGCCTCAGCGAATGCTGAAGAGACCTTCAGGTCATTCCAGCATTCAGCGATCAAAGAAAGCTTACTTAGCACGATTGTTGTTGTCTTGTCCTTATGCACACAAAGGACAAACCCATACCCTTATGAAAGTTGGTACGGTACGGAGCCGACTAGTCGACTCTATTGTCCACCAACTTTAGGTAAGGATGTCTGCTCATGAATAGTGCTTTTTGTACTATTCAMTGTAGCAAATGACAAGTCTTCCTCTTAAGGCTTGACATGCACTCTAACCCTACCATATTACATTAAATGAACATTTAATGCACTAGGTATAAATAGAAGTGTTTCTTCTCCATGCAGAGTGCGCGCAACTCACTCTATAACCCTAATTCTTACTTCAAGCATTTTCTAGCTTAAATAAAGAATCTTCTTTACAACATTTCTTTTCTTGTATTGCTAAGAATTCGTGTGTAACCAAAGATTTTTTAGATAGGTTTTTATTACCTTATCTTTCCGCAAACAATCTTGTAAAATCTGTATTAATCTTCTTTATCAATATATATTTTAAATTTGAAAATATTGTGTTTGTATTCATCCCCCCCTTCTACAAACTGTTTTACTATTCTTGTAGACCCTCAAGGGACCAACAAGTGATATCAGAGTAGTGCTTTCTTCTCTCTCTTTCTGTTTAGCTGTTTTCAGTATTAGTTTATCTCTTTTTACAAATGGCTTTACAAATTACAAACACACACACACACACAAGACAATGGCTCTCTTGCCAAATCTCCCCGATTTTTCCGTGACAATTTTAGTCTCTGGAAGAACCGGATGTCCCTCTTTCTTGAAGGTGTGGATCATGAAATTCCACATTATATAGAAAATGGACCATATATTCCATTTGCTATTGCACCGGCTGTTCCAGCAACATTTACGACTGCCCCGATTTCTGAACGACAGATTCCAAAGCTCCCACATCAATGGAGCGATGAAGACAAAAAGAAAATAGCTATAGACACGCGTGCTCGGTCTATAATAGCTATGTCT